CTTGAGGCGGATCTACTGCCTTAATACGAATAGATTGAAATAAGAAGCTCGCTTACGACTTGAAGAAGGCATGGGGTTTTTAAATGTTTCAGAATTTACATAACTTTCAAGGGTTTAATCTGCATTTTCAAGAAATAGCTTCTGATGCTGCCTGTTTCTTGTCTGTTTTTAGGTTTACTATCTTCTTCAGTATGAGACAGAAATTGTTGTTTACTTAGGAAGAAATCAGAATATGAAGAGCAGAGTTACTTGTTTCAATCAAGGTAAACATCTAGTTTTCTGCAATAGAAAAAAACGAAAACTAAGAAGTAGAAATTGCTGATTGGTATTGACAGCTCAGAATTAGAAATGGTAAGACAAAAGTACCAGGGAGCAAACGTTAAATTAAATGAAGCTTTACTCTGTTCTTTCCTTCACTCATTTTGGTAAACCAGTGCAAGTCCTTCTACACCAACATGATACCAATGAAGGCCGGGTATATCCAAAAGGAAAACCAGTTTTCCTCATATTGCAATATTAATGTGTATGTGTTTCCACTTTTTAAAATGAGTCAAAAGTGAGTCAAAATGAGTCAATACTAGATTAAGACCTTTGTACAAAAAGTTTCAAACATCTAAAAACAAAATAGGCTAGCAAATAAAAAAAATTAAACATAACCAATATTTTCAAATAAATATTCCAAATATATCTATGGTAGGATTAGCCAATATATACACAGAGTATATCTGTTTCTGTAATTTAAAAGTGATAAAAGTTCAAAAAACTACATATATATGTGTATATGTATATATATGTTTCATGTCTTCAAATGTCTCTCTGCTCTTTTTGAAAGGCACCATGTAAGAAATCCCAATTAATCCTTGCTATGAAAAACCAAAACAAACACAAGCTTAGCATTTTGCCATGGTTTCAAATATTTATGATATTTTAAATTTCTATGCATGTAACAATGGAGAAGATATGTCTTGCAAAAGCATGTTATTAATTCATTTTAGGAGACTATACATGAGCTGGACTTAATTTTTAGCTACCAACATAACCCTGAAGTTATTATTTATAGGAAGTTCTTTTTTACACAAAAGAAATTTTAGAACTTATGAGTGTATTTTCCTCTAAAGAAATATGTCCAAGCTACATTCTTTAAGGATATAACTAAGTCAATAATGTACACATTAAAAAAAGGTTGGTTGTTTTTTTTTTTTGGTTTTTTTTTAAGGGGGCTGGTTAATTTGGCGTTCCTTAGGGGGAGTTGTTTTTCAGTTTCAGGTTTCTTTCTTTTTTTTTTTTTTCCACCCTTCCTGGCTTCATTGGTTTGTTGTTTTTTTTTACATACTCTAAAATTGCAGTGATCCCAAATGTGATGTATGCCCTAGGCTTCCCACACAAAGCATTGACATGCCATGATGGGGGCACAGGAACTGAAGGAATTTGAAGACAGGAGGTCAACAGATGAATTGGTTGGTCTTACTGGAAGTGAATAATTATTCTCAAGTTCACTGATTAATAACATAGTCCGTTTTAAGATCATGAGTAAAGGGTGTCTTTTTAGGTGATCCCTACCTTCTTTAAGTTTCTGGCTTAGGACTCAACTAGTCCAGTTTAGAGGCAGAAGAGAAAAGGAGTGATGAGGAATAACAGCATGAAGGAATTGGAGAGGGGGGCGTGGGAGAAGGGCAAGGATGACACCACAGAGCCCAATGGCAGCTGTGATAGTTCTCTAACAATGGCCAGTGTTACTGTGCCCTTGGTAGGTGCCCAGCTAGTATTTGTGGAGCTGAACTTGAAACAAGTCTTGAAAGGCCTCCCTACCCCCACCCGTATCCCTGATGCACTCAGTCTTCCTGGCCTGACAGTCATGCACAAATATTTTAATAGCAATGCTTTGCATTTAGAGATTAAAGGCCTTATACAAGTGCTGTTAAAAAAAAATCAAGCAAGCATTGTTTTGGATGTAGATTAGAGGAGGAACTGAGAAGGGGAGACGTGGGCAATCCCTGTGATTAGTCCTGTGATCTTCATGCGAATCTCTTCCCGCACGCTGTGTGAATGTTCTGGAGCCTTGTTCTTTTCCATATCCCCTTCCTCAATTTGTAAGAAGGCACGTTCTCACTGTTTACTTACACTATCTCAAACATTGCTTATCATGTTATTTTACTTCAAAGCATCCCAAGAGTGTGATTATATACAAATAAAAACTGTTTTTGAAATCTATATCTACATTGACATAGCTCTACAGATATTGAGACTCAAATATATGCACACAGCAGTACATTTAGACATGGCTGCACCTGTATGAGATAAGTTACACATGTTTAAATGTTAGGGACATGTCAAAAATGTCTTCTCTGCCATCCACATAATATTGTTAGCTAAACAATATAATTCTTTCTAATCAAATAACCACTGTGAAATACCTGATTCACTTTGCACCCAACAGCTGGGGCCATAGCTTGTGTTCCCAGCCAAAGCTGAACACAAGCACAATAGGAAAGGCAGAAACAGCTGCAAACTCTTGGGAGAAAAAAATTCGCAAAGCAACTTTGCCATTAGACTTCAGGATAGGAAGGAAGTAAAATCATTTTTCTGTTCCTTTTCATGTATGGCAGCTGTCTTCAGAAAAAAAAATTATATCCATTCTATTTTATAACAGAAACTTCATAGTATTTATTAAAATACGAGTTGTAGAAATTTAGACCTGGCCACAGATTTAGCATTTTAGCACAGTCAAAGCATTTCTAGAACTTGGTAGAAAGAGACTGCTCTGACAGATTAAACTGGAAGGTCCCCAGATCTGTGCTATACTCCTGACTCCTCCCCCACCATTATTTGCTGTAAATAAATTGGATTTCAGTGATGTTGACTGATCAACATCAAGTGCTTTCGGTTTATTTATATAAAATTTAATGGGATGGAATTCTCTTAGGCAAGTGTCAGAGAAATAGACCCTCTGTGGTTTCCAAAAGCCCTTGGACTGTATGCACTATTGTTATCAGGTAAATAAATGTTTTTACCTTTCCTACTAAGATTTGAGTTCCTTATAGACAGGTTCTTTGTCACTATTTCTTTTGCTTCATTCATTTGCCTAGTAAAGCAAAGTGAGTAGGTTCCCTGTACTTATTTGATGAATTAAAAGCCACCTGGTTTAAAAAAAAATCAGTGACAACAGTACCTTTCACAAAATAAGCATGTCTTTATTTTTACCTTTTGTTTTGGATGCACAGTTAATGGGCAAACTATATTAACTAGTTTATTTTATGCAAATGCAGGGAGATAGGAATAAAACATTTGCCACAGCATTTCTGTTACAATGAAACTGATGCATGACACATCCCTCGGGTGGTGGACTCTGTCACATGGCAGAATTTACTCAGTTAATAAAGTAATCTATTTAAAAATGGGATTTTATTACACCTTTAGAATCTGGAAATAGGCCAGGAAACTTTTGATGTTAAAAAAGTGTCACACCTAAAGTGACTGTTGAAAACTTATTAATGTGAAACTGGATTGGCGAGGTAATGGACAATTTTGAAAAAAAGAAAAGCAGAAATATAGATAAAGTAGAGCAGCAAATCAGCATAATGGGCACATTAGGAAATCAACAGATGCTAGCTCCTCTCATCCTCCTTTGGACTTTTGGAATTCTGCAGAATACCATCAATGTAAATTAAGAACACATATAAACACAAAATAATCCCACGCATTCTACAGGGATAATAAGTATGACCATATTTCAAATACTCTAGAGTGCATGTCTATATGGGAAGGGTGGAATCCTTGAAATTCTGAGAAGTTAAGGATAGAATTAAATGGTCAAGATGGATGAGGTGGGTGAATAAGCTTATTGGGATGGAGAGAGGAAACAATCAGATATCAGGAGGTATGTTACTAGTTTAAAGCCAGGAAGATTTTATTTACATAGTTTATGACTGAAAAAATTCCACTATGCCCACTAGTACAAGAGAAACCTGATTTATAGTTCTTAAAATCTGGCAATGACTAATATTCAGACTGCCATAAAGACAGTGGTAATTTTAAAAAATAAGTTTTGTACAAGAATACAGATAGAGGATATTCAGATGGGTAAGTCATAGGAAAACATCATTATCCTGAATTGGTTTACCAGAAGTCACTGTCTGGTGAGGATGTTAAAGTCTATTAGATGATTATGAAATAAGCATCTCCCTTGAAAGGAAATTTCTAGTATTCATAGAAATTCAACATTTTCACAGATGCCATTGTGATTCTTCATTAATCAAGAATCTACAAAGGTACTCATGCTGAAAGCACCAATAACTACTAAAGCAGTAAAACAAATCCAACACAAGAGTATTTTCATTTCTGCGAAGTGTCATGACTCATGTATCTAGGAAACACGTTAACTTCAATCAAGCTTCAAATGTGAACATTGTATGGAAGTATTTTTGCTATCCAGTAAAAGCATTTCTTAATAAAATCTGGATTTTTTATTTTTTAGTATTTGAGCTTCTTTGTGTCTGACCCCAGTGTTTTGCAGAATCAGGAGAGCCTGAGTTACAATGGGAGTTTGAGGGTAATGTCCCTTCCTAACTCCTGCCAATATTTCTCAATGATGTGAATGTTTCTTCTCATGGAGACGCACAGTTCACACAATAGCTCTCCTTTGATCTGCAGCTTCCCTTGAAATAGGAAAACATTGCCTAGAAGTGCTTTAATTGTTTCATTTTATTTTCCAGTCACGTGATAGAAATTATGAATGGAAAAAAAAAAAAACCACCAAACCATTTCAGACAACAAAATTAAAGCAACCACATTCAAACTGAAAGCTTCAAGAACTTAACAAAAATAGGCCATACATTTCATAAAAGGTGAACCAGGCTTCATTGTTTGGCTCTCAGCCAGTGCCTCCAGTTTCTACTGTGATTTTCACTTTACAGTATTTGCAATACCTTACTGCAGGAACAAACAAATTAATCGCATAATGCCAGATAAAACAGAAGCAGCTTCTCTCAGAAAGCACTTACCTGCATGAAGCGACCTTCTGACGTCCCAAGATTAGCAATGGTGAGGTCTCCTTTAATGAAAGTGGATATAGATGTCAGGAGGACTTGGTTGAATTGGCCCATGAATAAGTCAACGCGTTGCAAAGCCGTGGTAAATTCTGTTCGATATTCATCCTTGCGCACTTCACAGCCTGATGAATTTCTCAGAAGTGTCTGGAATAAAATATCGTCATAGAGTTAATGTAAGTCTAGATGTGAACAAGCTGGTAAGAAACTTTCCAGTGTATCTTTCCAGAGTGTGAAGGACTATGACCAGGATAACCATGCAAATAGGCAAATAGCCCCAGATAGGCATAAATATTTCTAGAGAGCGAATGGCTCCAGTTTCACTAGGCACTGGTGTCTAGATAGGCTTTGAAACTGTGGCAGACCTGATTATCCCAACTTGCACAATGGTTTGCTATGTGCATGCATAAAGATGGAACGTAGCCAGTGCCATTATAAAAAACCCCAAACCTTGAATGTCTCGGCCTTTAACATAAAGGGAATGCTTCTAGCAGGCACATCCAATGAGATGAATTTCAACTGGAATAAAAATAAACGTTAGAATCATACAATGATATTATATTTTTAAATGTGTGCCTTTGTGCATTTGTGTACAGAGCAGGGAGGTGGTGGGGAGTGGCAGTTACCAGATAATTTAAGGGGAGGCAGCGGAGCCTAGACCCAAGTGCCCCCATCAAATCCTGGTCCCTAATGCTCACTTGCTTTGTGTAATTCCTATCATATTTCTGTATTCAGATGTTCATGTAATCTCTGTGTTTCATCCTCCATCTATAGAACTATAGAAATGGTACTTACCTTACAGAGTTGTTGTAAAGATTAAATGAGTTAGTTTATATAAATCTCTTATAATAGAACCCAGCACATAGAGAACATCACTGAAGTATTTGCCATCATTATGATGAAAGTCTCAAAAAGATGTAAAAGTTGTACATCAAATGTCTCAGTAACCAGTTTCCTGAAAGATAATTACCCACTTAATCTGATACCTTTAGGTACAACCTCAAAAGGAAAGTTTTTAAGAAATACTGTTAAGCACTGTGGATTTCTCCTTTCCACTGGACACTTCAATCTCCCGGTTTTCCTTCTACCTCTCAGACGGCAGCATTCATGTCTCCTTTGCAGAATGCCCCATGCCTGGCTGTAGATGTTAGGGTTTCTCAAGGCTCCACCCTAGGGGCACCTCTCCACTCTCTCTTCAGTTTCTCCTGGGATGTCTATTACTTATTACACACACACACACACACACACACACACACACACACACACACACATCTCTGCTCACGTGACTCAGAAACCTCATACTCAACATGTCCATAGCAGAAACCATAATCTTAGCCTGATTTTAGCATACTACACACCTCAGCGAATGCCTCTATTATTCCTCCAGGTACACAAGTTAGAAATCTACATGTCATCCCCAATTCCTCCCTCTCCCTCAGTCCCCATATACAGTCCATCATCAATATCCATTAATTCCACTATCTAAATACCTCCTGGACCCACCCAGTCTTCTCTATTGGCCCCCACCACAATCCTCATTCTGGCCGCTGTACCCTTTTCCTGGACTACTGCAGTGGCTTCCTAACTAGACTGATCACATCCACTGCCACCTATGTCAGGTGATCTGTTCTCCACATTGCAGCAGGATTTTCTTTTTAAAAGACAAATATGATCATGTCCCTCTGTATTCAAAATACTGAATGCTTCCCCATTGCTTGTAGGATAAAGGACAACATTTTTAACATGGCTGCTGGGCTTCACGTCATCTGGCACCTGCCAAACTTCTCCAGATCTGTGCTCTGTGCTCCAGTGAGCCAGCCTTCTTTCAGTTCTCCAAATATGCCACATGTCTTCTCATTAAGGGCCTTTGCACATGCTGTCTCCCTGCCTGTAATGCTCCATCCAGCACCATTCACCTTGTTAATACCTCCTTCAGATCTTCACTGGCCACCATTCCTCAGGACCTGGCCCTAACCCCAACCTCTAGGTCAAATGCTTCTAGAATTGAGTGTCATGATACCTCTTACTTATTTATGCACCATAGTGTCACAGAGCTGTAACAGCTGCAACTTAATATTTGCTTGCATGATTATAAGATAATGAGAAACTTCTCCCAAGTGGCTCTCTGGGATCAGGGACCCTGCCTGTTCACCACCGTATTCCTAGTACCTGATTAAATGTCACACATAGCAGATATTTAATAATATTAATTTAATGAACAAACACATAAGTGAATCAATTATGAATAGATGGGGATGATGAGTATTAAGATATGAAACAATATTGTTAAAGCTATTTTTTTTTTCAGAAATAGGGGTCGTTAAGTGTTTATAAAGGGCAAATGAGGGTGTTTGGTTCCTCACTGTCCTGAATGAGATAGCTGTGAATTGTTAAATCCAGAGCAGATGATGGGAGGAGGAGAATGTATTAAGGAAAATGAAGTCTACCCTGGGAGAAGAAAGAGAAAAAATTCATTCTTACATATCTTGATATGTAGCTACAAGTCCAGAAAAATGATTGGATAGTTAGGAATTCCTTATTATTGTTCTATTATAGTAATAAGAAAATTGTCATGGTATATATCAAACCAATTGACTGTTCAAGAAAAAAACAAATAAAAATTTTAGTTATCCTTCTGTATAGTGGCTGTACTCCTTAAGATAAAATTTCTATCACAAGGAAAACAAAATGCTTACATCTATTGATTTTTATGGTTAAAACCACCTAAAATGCTCTATTTTATAAATCAACAACTATGTCTCCCTTTTAAATGGCAATAAATTAGCAGAGTCTTAAATATGCTAAACCTACTAACTCTTGTAACTAAGATGTTTTAGTTCTAGATGCTTATTTTGATATATTAGTGAGTACTATTTAAGTGTTTAATTAGAATCTTTTCTTCACTAAAGTAGTATGGATTACTCTGAGGAGAAGCAGATAACCGAGATGTGCCAGCAATTCAATAGTAACCGATTAATTGATAATTAAGTTTCTATAGGTGATCGATCATCCATTTCGCAGAGATACACAGAGCTAAAGGAAGCTGCTTAAAGGAGCAAGGACCAATTTTAAAACTCAGGCCACCTGAAGTCTTCCATTATAGAGGTGGCTGCTCTTAGGGCCAGGCTTTTTCGGTCGTTTTATTCCTTCTCTTGCTAGAGCTTGCTCTTTTTCTCCAAGTCAAGGTGGCATCCTAGGGACTTTAAAGCCTCAAACTTGACCTGGAGTGTGGTGCCACTGGAGATATGATGGATTCACTGGGATATAAAAACAAAATGTGTTGTGGATGGAGTAGAGCCTTTGCCCATACACTATTAGCAGAGGGTCTAATCAACAAGAGGACAGGAATTGCCCTATCATCTTTTATCCCAGTGTACTGTATTGTGCTTAGCACACAGTAGGTATTTAGTAACAGCTTGCAGAATAATTAATGCATCTGCAAAGTCACCAGAGGTAAAGCCCACCCGTCTACCTAGATTGCTTTGTGGTCTGCCTTGGTTAACAGAGCAAGCAGGGGAATGAAGGGGAAATGATCTTGAAGTGTCTCCTTAGAGATTCTGCAAACCTGCAAGAACTCGCGGATCTTTTGTAAATGGAGGCACAGAAACACAACCAGAACTTTAGCCTCCATGCACCTGTTCCATACATGTAAAGCATGAATGTAGAACTCTGCATCAAAGTTAAGACAATGTTTATATTGCTCACTTCAGAGCTTCTCCTTCAGGAAATAGTGAGGTCTCTAAATAGTACCTCCTCAAGGACTGATAGGATTAATTTATGTGCCTATTGTCCCCTGATAAAATGTCTAAGTATAGAGACATTGCACAATGTTGGAAGAGGACCTACAGAACTCCTTGATCTTGAAAAATTGTGCACTTTGGAGCCAAAAGCTAAACATTAGGTCAGGTTAAAGTAGCATTCAAATTTCATAAGGCAGGGCACCCCAATCTTTTTCTTTTTCACTTTCCCCACAGCTGAGTTCTGCAAGGGAGGCATGGAGGCATGAGCTTCCAGGAAAAGTTAACATTCCAGCATTCACTGCAGGAGAGGGTTTGGTCCTTGTCTCCTCCCACTAACAATCCTGATAAACTCAATGACTCGGGTCAGGGAAGCAGGACCTACCTTGCAGAGCTGCACGCTGTCTTTGAGCTTTTGTGGTAGAACTTTTAACTAATAAGGAGACTTGCTCTAAGATCTCAGCATCGCCAGAGGTAAAGCATTGCGCAAATATGACTAAATCTGAGACCGATTCACTATGTCCCTTAAAGATAGTGAGTGAATGTATTTGCTGCTCATTTGTGCAGGATGATCGGGTTGCCTCATCGCAGCACTTTACACACAGTTCCTGAGTGCGACATTCGGGGTGGCCCAGCTGGAAGAACAATGACACATCTGCTGCCAGGGATCTCCCTGCTACTCGTGCATCTCTCAAAGCCAGGAGATCATATGCCTGTGGGTAAAACTGAACATAGCTGGCAGAGAGCAGTTCTCTGGGACAGTGGATGCTTTGGGGAACTGCAGAAGAGTCTACAGAGAAGGTTTCAGACCAGCACCAGGAGAGAGCCAAACTGACTCTCTTTTATGGTAACAAAGGGAGGAAGAAGGAAGGAAGGAAGGAAGGGAGGGAGGAAATCAATTTTTACCCTGCACTTGGAATGTGCCAGGCACTGAGTTGGGCATTTTCACATGCAGTGAGACTCACAGCTGCCCCGTGAGGTTTGATCACACTCAGTTTTAAGGATGAGGAGACTCAGTGAGCCCCGGGCTCAGTCACAGTGCCCAGTTCACACTGGGACAGGCATAAGAAGTCAGTTCTCTCTGATGCTCAGGCTCCTGAATTTCTTTTGCTTCTGTTGACCATTCTGGGCAATGTTCTGAGGACTGCGCAATGGCAAAAATGAAAGGGCCTTTGAGATCATCTTACTCTAGTTCCTCATTTTAGGGCTGAAATTATCTTTATATTCTAGATAACAGCAAAGAGATAACCAACAGCATTTTGAACTGTACTAATTAGTATTACTCTCAAATCTAGCTTTCCTTATAGCTCTCCTTTTTGGTTCATGAACATGACCATGCTTACATTCAAGCAACTTTGAAATTCTGTCATCACTGGCTTCTCTTTCTGCAGTATTTTCCACATCCACCCA